GAACATGAAAATATTACGAAGTTTTAAGAATTCCAGGAAATGGATTTGCTTTCATTTTAAATATTACGCTCTCAAGTCCGTATCGCTTGTTAACAAACATTTAAAAACCTTTAAAATTGTTAAGACTCAAAGCAAATTGTGTATTAAATTCGGCTTTAAATTTTAATGGAATTTCCGCCCACCGTTTTTGTGTCCGTCTGCCAAATGGGGGATTACAGTCGAAAATATTCATGTTTCTCGTAATACTATGGCTGCGCACACTGTTTTGAGTTCAAATTTATTATAGAACAAATAAAGTACAGAAATTCATTTATTCATTTATTATTAGAAACTCAACAGCCTGTTTTCCATATACATATGTAGATGAGAGCGTAGGTACTATAAGCAATATTCGCCAATCCGTGCTTAAATACTAGTATTAACATGTCTTATTTGCTGTTACTACCTATTACAAAAAGATCTTAAGCCAATGAAAGAGTTTCCTGACATCTTAAAACGGTACAAGTGTAAATGTAAATACGGATATTAGATATATAATATATATTCTACCACATACACACAACGCCATCTAGTCCCAAACTAAGCAGAGTTTGTACTATGGGTACTAGACAACTGATATAAATACATATATACTTTTTTTTTGTAAATACATACATATTATACATAGAAACACCCAGACCAAATCAAACATCAAATGTTCATGCACACAAATGTTTGACTTAAACGGGAATCGAACCCGCGACCTTTGGAATAGCAGTCCGTTATACAAACCACTACGCCATCCAGATGACAACAGACATTGGGGTAACTCAATACCTAATATTCAAGCGACAGCAATTATGGACCCTGTCGTGCGCACCACAGTTTGTTTATGAGAGAGGAAGATAACACTACCATTTAAACAGTAGAATTTTTTGTTTGTAATTAATATAGTAGGATACAATCATGGTCGCTATATATGTCATGTATTATTTTACAACATTAATATTAACTATATACATAAGGATGTGCTGCATGGACTTATGATATTACTTAGTGGTACGGTAGCCGTTTCTCAATAAGTGTAATGGATCATTATTTGAGAATTATAGGTACTAGGCAACCTAGTCATAATAGCATTCTTACCGTAGTTGTTACGATGAAGAGGAACATTGAATAAAATAGTATTTCTATAAAATTAAAAAGATGTTTTATTAATATATCTTCATGTTGCGGAGATGAAATGGCTAAGATGGATGTGCAGCAGAATCAGGATAGATAAGATCCGCAACGAATATATACGAGGAAGCCTGGGAGTCCGCGACATGGCGGAGAAGCTGCTAGAGAGTAGGATGAGGTGGTATGAACATGTCAGGAGGAGACCACCTGATTACGTTGGAAACCAGGCACTAGAACTATCCGTTCCCGGAGCACGCGCACGAGCACGCCGGGAAGACCCAACACCACATGGATAGGTGTGCGGAGAGACATGAAGGCATGCAATGTTTTGGAGGACGACGTCAGGGACAGGGCGAAGTGGAGAAAGTACACGAAAAGGACTGACCCCACCACCGTGTGGGACGAATAGTCAGGAAGAGAGAGAGAGAGAGAGAGAGAGAGAGAGAGAGAGAGAGAGAGAGAGAGAGAGAGAGAGATAGACAGAGAGAGAGAGAGAGAGAGAGAGAGAGAGAGAGAGAGAGAGAGAGAGAGAGAGAGAGAGAGAGAGAGAGAGAGAGAGAGAGAGAGAGAGAGAGAGAGAGAGAGAGAGAGAGAGAGAGAGAGAGAGAGAGAGAGAGAGAGAGAGAGAGAGAGAGAGAGAGAGAGAGAGAGAGAGAGAGAGATAGACAGAGAGAGAGAGAGATTAATATATATCTTCAGATATTCAAAATTCATTGAATTAGTACTAAATGAAATATAACTAGTTTAAAATTGAGTGAGATCACAAAGATTACTTAATTTATGTAACTCTGAGCTTTCAGTAAAAAGATTTTCAAAAAAAAATAAGTAAAGGTGGATTGAGCACAAGTGTTCGGATAAAAAAGAAAGCCAGGATCCTATCTGGCAGGATAGCGATAAATCTTCAAGGTTGCTAGGATAAGACCCGTTTGAGATAGCGAAATAGTAATTCGTAGTCTGAAGTCAAAGACAACGTCGAGATGATACCAAGTAACGATGTCAGTGAAAAAATAATATGAAAAAGTAGAAGGTTGTGATAATTTTTTATTTTTGAGTTCAACGTTCAAACGCAGTTAAGATCATTTACTTTTTGACAACAAAACAACCCACGTAAATCTTTGCACTCCTTTTCATTCAAAGGTACTCCGTTTATTACAATAAAGCCGCCTTTAATTGTGAAAGTTATGTTGAAAATTTACTTTATTTATTATTATTATTTATTTTTACGTACACAATACACAAATATAAACATTAACAGAAAAAAATACATTATTTTTTACACTTTCACACTCACTCTCACTCACTCACTCACTCACACTGAGTGATATATAAAAGTTGTTTACTATATGATGACCGACGGTAGATGATTTGTAACGTAACAATGCAAGTGCTATCAAAAAAATCGGTTGTCTGTAAAGTTGGTTTACTGACGATAGTTGAACGTGACAACGTCATAAGAAAATACTGATGGAATGGTTGCATTTTTCAAAAATGTTTTATTGTATACGAGTAGCAGCTGTCCACGCGGACGCATCGCTCACTCACTCAAGTAGGAGAGAGACAGATGTCGAACGCTGCCGAACGCGGAGGCCGATTGTGCCTCTTTGTCACTCGTTCCGCGCTCTCGCTTGCACTTCACGCCTTAAATGGAACGCCTCAGAGCGAGGTAACGCCGCATGAGTCATGTTTTTTCGTGCGTGCAGCCGGCTCCATCGAATTATAAGACGTTGTCACGTCAAAAAAATACATTAAGGAATAGTGTGCACAATGACGGGCTTAATCCATAGTTGAGTTCTCTCAGCAAACCTAAGAGTGAAGAAAGAATAGCACAACAAGAGAGAGTCGTGTGTACAGAAAAAATTAAGAAAATAGAAATATACAACTGAATACATACAGAGATAGAAATATAAACAAAATAACCAAATATCATGTAAATTATCTATAACATAACATAACTTTATACATTACAACTCTCTACTTCAGTTTATTTGTTTTTGTTTTCTTTGCTTTCAATAAAAGCGTTAAATTTATTTATTGCCGTGTACCTTTTTTTTTTTCTTTTTTTTTTCCGTGCGGAAGTCCCCTCGGATACCACCTGTCGGTGGCATGTCGGACTCGAACCGACTAAAACCGCACGCCGTCTCGGGTACTAATAGCCGGGGAACCAGGTATACCCTAGAAAGGAAGTCCCTGGTGCCCCGACATACCTCGGGTCATCTACAGATGAGTAGACGACCCCCCCCCCCCCCGTGTGGGAGCCCCATGTTCCCTGTGCTCCCTGAAAGCGAGCGCGCTTCGCAACGCGCTCGCCGCCACCCCGGCCTGCTTCTGCTAGGGTGACAGATGGCTTCACCTGTCACCCCCAGGCCTGCGCTTATGGAGGACGGAGGTCGTTCTGCGTATTGCCGTGTACCTATGAATAATATATTTCTAGTGCTGATATATTTATATCACATAGTAATAAACATTATAATCTTTTACCACTTGAAATTCAATTTTTCTAACGAATTTAACACTTTCACACTCACACTCACTCACTCACTCACACTAAGTGATATGTAAAAGTTGTTTACTATATGACGACCGACGGTAGATGATTTTTAACGTAACAATGCAAGTGCAATCAAAAATCGAACGAATCACTAAGCACACAGAATTGCGCTGAGATGATTGTTCTTTAAGAATCTGTGATCTGAATAAATACTTTTTGTTGTTTTTTTTTCTTCCTCTCTACTTCTACATATGAACATCATAATCAGTTCATTCTTTGACTATCAGCACTCTGATCTGTATTCTTCAACTCACTTTCATGGTCATTGTTAGAAGTTTCTTGTTAGAAAATCAGAAATGTGGCGTTTCTGATTTTCTTGTTAAATCAACTAACAACAAACAAATCCTTTGAAGCGAAACACTAATTCTAATGTACTCCAACACTGACGTCACGTCAAATAAATTCAGTCGCGTGACATGGGTCGACCTGCAAGTAAAACTAACAGGATATGAGACTCGTGTTCATATTCATTAATGTAGCGTTTCCTAAACTTATATGTTCCAAGCTAAGGAAGCAAAAAAATATATATATTATCATTATTTCGAGGTATTGGATATTTGTTTTATTTATTGTAAAAAACATTGAAAACAATGTGGTTTAAAGATCCTAATTATATGTATAGACAATTCTGACGACCGGATGGCGTATTGCTTTGTGTAACGGACTGCTATTCCAAAGGTCGCGGGTTTAATTCCCGCTTAAGTCAAACATTTGTGTGCATGAACATTTAATGTTTGATCTAGTCTGTTTCTATGCATATGTATTTACAAAAAAATGTAAATATATGTATTTATATCAGTTGTCTAGTACCCATAGCACAAGCTCTGCTTAGTAGAATATTATTATTAATATTCATTATGTTTTAAAGAGCAGTTACTATTCAACTATGAAGCATACGCCTGTTTTCACTTCTAAATACATACTTCTAAAAAGTAGTTTTTTTACTGACTATAAATAACCTAAACGAATGGAAAAAAAAAATCTTCTATCCCATTCTAAATCTACATTTTTACTATCTTCGTATTCACATCACTATCATACATTATCCTCCATATATGTAAACCGATTTCTTGATAAAGGCTTAACTTATTTCGTTTACACAAACAATATTGCATTACGACTCTGAAGTAAATCCATACATCTTTCCATAACCATGTCCAACATTTTGTTTTCAGAAATGTTTAAATTGAAATGTAAATCAGTTTATTTTATTTCTTACAGATTAAAATGAACGCACACAGTTCAACATGGGTACACTTTTCCACCAAAATGGTATGATCAAAACATCACTAACATGCGTCCTGGTCAGCGGTGGTTGGCGGTCTCTCTACTCATCACTACCGTCCAACAAACGGAAATGAGGCATTCCGTGGACTCACTCAACATCGACGACTCAGTCTTCCATAAAAAAAATAAACATCATCATAGACACAAACACAAACCTGGTCAGATAGTCTATGACCCAACATTCTTTGCCGACAGAAGCGAAGATTTTATTCAAATTTTGAATCTCAAAGACGGAATGCAAATTGTTGATGAAGAGCTAGTGTCTAAACATGAAGGTAAAAGTGACTGGGTTAATATGTCGAATGACCAAGTTGGAGAGATGAAAGATAAGAAACATCATCCACATTGGCCGATTAAAAGAGAAGCAGTTATTGAAGGTGATCTGGTGATTGGTGGGCTGATGATGGTCCATGAAAGGTCTGATTCGATGACGTGTGGGCCTGTAATGCCCCAAGGTGGAGTTCAAGCGTTAGAGACTATGTTGTATACTTTGGATTATATTAATAACGTTTTAAAACTGATTCCTGGTGTAACAGTTGGAGCTCACATACTTGATGATTGTGATAAAGATACATATGGGCTTGAGATGGCTGTAGATTTTATCAAAGGTAATTACTTATTTCAATCTAAATTTGATGTTAACCTTATATAATAATGGGAAAAAGGCTCTAAACTCCCTAGTCTGAGAAGGACCTGATCCATGTGATTCTAAGGAAGACATCTTCCTTAATAGGTCTCTCCCTGGTATCTGCCTAGTCTGAGGAGGACCTAAATTATGTGAGTTTAAGGCAGACACCTTCCTTAATTAGGTCTCTCCCTGGTCTCTGCCTAGTCTGAGGAGGACCTAAATTATGTGAGTTTAAGGCAGACACCTTCCTTAATTAGGTCTCTCCCTGGTCTCTGCCTAGTCTGAGGAGGACCTAAATTATGTGAGTTTAAGGCAGACACCTTCCTTAATTAGGTCTCTCCCTGGTCTCTGCCTAGTCTGAGGAGGACCTAAATTATGTGAGTTTAAGGCAGACACCTTTCTTAATTAGGTCTCTCCTTGGCCTCTGCCTAGTCTGAGGAGGACCTAAATTATGTGATTTTAAGGCAGACACCTTCCTTAATTAGGCCCAATAGATCATAAATTTAGAAACATTATTCGTGAAAATTTAAAGAGTAAAATAATTTTCAAACATTTGGAACAGACTTTTGTTTTGTATAAATTATAACTACTTATGTCTAAGTAAACACTAACTATCTCCTTTGTCTTTCTTCTTTATTAGGCTCAATAAGTAACATCGATGATGCCGAATACGCGTGCAATGCGACTGCTGTACGGAAGGTGATATCCGGTGTCGTGGGAGCCGCCTCCAGCGTCACTTCAGTTCAGGTTGCCAACCTGCTGCGACTGTTCAAGATACCTCAGGTATAATATTATCATTTCGGTTTTCTATTTTATTATATAAATAAAAATACATGATATATAAAGGTAGATAGATCACTGCCTGTGTCATAAATAACAAGAACGTTTCAGAAAGACAAATGTTTGTAATTAAGAAACTGTAGCAGAGAGGTTCATTAAGGAAACCTAGTAACGTCCCAAGTAAAAATACTTTAGCAGTGACAATAGTGCTATCATAAAACTTCTTAATTTTTATTTTACTTGTGCATTTAGTTCAAGCAATCAAGTAATATGTCGCCCATTACTTTTCATTTTGTGTAAATACACTCAAAAGCAATGACAAAACAAAAGCAAAGATACTTCCAAATCTCTAGTTCAATTTTAATTTACACTTTGTTCAATATTTATACACTTTATATAATATTAATACTTATACTTATACTTTAATTAATTAAATTACTTTTTTAATATTTATACTTTTTTTTTACTTTTTTTGACGACTGGATGGCGTAGTGGTTTGTGTAACGGACTGCTATCCCAAAGGTCGCGGGTTCGATTCCCGCTCAAGTCAAACATTTGTGTGCATGAACATTTGATGTTTGATTTGGTCTGGGTGTTTTTATGTATAATATGTATGTATTTACAAAAAAATATATATATGTATTTATATCACTTGTCTAGTACCCATAGTACAAGCTCTGCTTAGTTTGGGACTAGATGGCGTTGTGTGTATGTGGTAGAATATATTATTATTATTATATTATATAAATAAAAGAAATATGCAATATCATCTTAGAACAAAAATTACAAACATCGAATCTACTTCTCTACAACTTTCTCAAATATGAGTATTTGTGTTGCCTACTCGTGTCAATATTACGGTTATGCGCTCTAGCACACTACACATCATATTCCTTATACAATTTTGATGAATACTTTTCCATTCCACTTTGAGAAATTGACATTTATTTAAGAATTTCATAGACTGAGCTAGTTTCACTTTACGTGTGCAATAAAAGACTGTGTTTTTCCTTTGAAAATAATAGTTGGCACGATTCATCTTTTTTTCAATAGTGAGACAAGTTTGAATGCCTGATGTTACTCTGGGGATGTGGGCCATAATATCAATCATTATAAAGTATATAAGTTGTTACTCTGATAAAAAGGAATAAGATGGAATATATTCAAGCTGTCAATATACCTAATGGCCATCCATTAATGTTTATATAATATAATGTTTTATATAATATGTATAACAGTTTATACAATGTTTATATTATGTTTACTTAAACTTATAGCTATCTGTAACATATATACTTAGATCGAGAAGGAGCATACCTGGCTGACATAAAATACAATACCAGGCTAATGGTCTTATGAAATCTTAATGTTATATTTTATGGATGAACTTCTTAGAAGCCACCAAATCTTTTATAAGTTTTTAAAATTAAAGTATTTAAAATTAGGAAGTCAGGTAAATGATATTGATGATGATGAATGATATTGGCTGACATTTTCTGTTCAGAATTAAGATTCTCTTAAATTTCAAGTCTTTTATAGCTTCTGATCTAATTTTGGTCAGCGTATTATATATCTTAAGATACTTATATGTGTATTTTCCTATCCAGGTATCGTTCTTCTCGACTTCTCCAGAACTATCCAACAAGGCCCGCTTTGAATATTTTACGCGCACGATTCCCTCGGATCACCACCAAGTTCGTGCCATGGTGGAGATCGTGAAGAAATTGGAATGGAGCTATGTGTCCATTATCTATGAAGAGTCAAGTTATGGGATCAAGGTATGAAAGAAGGATTTATATCTTGATTTTACATATTACTTTTATGTTCATATACATGATACAAAATTTTTGGTGAAATGATGACATTTTGTATCGTGATCTTGTCTTTTTTTTAATTTGTCTTTACTTCTCTTCTGTTGTAATTGTCATTTTAAACAGCTCGCACTGATAGACCTGGGTCTCAGATTAAAAATATTAACTGTAGCACACTATTTTTTAGTTTACTGTTAATTAAAAACACATACATGACCGATATCAAATCAATTTCAAGCTCAAATTACTTTAATGATCGGTTCAGAGTTAAAGGCAAAAAATAAATAAATTGGATCGTTAACTTGTATTTAGGCATATACGTCCGTGTGGTGACAGATTAAGAACATGGAGTGTCACCACCCCTATTCATCCCGTGGGTGTCGTAAAAGTATAATAAGAGAGCAAACTACTCAGGGAAACAGCACTGCAAAGAGAAGGAAAACTTGACAAAACCCTACACCAACCCGTCTGGCCAGCGTGGTATACTAGGTCAAAACCTCCTTTCTAAGGAGAGGCCTATGTACAGCAGTGGACTATTAAAGGCTGTTGATGATGATGATGATATGAAGCGCACCGTAATAAGTTACCTTTTTTAGTACACACCACAGATCACCCATTATATGACTACCTAATATTCTCTATTTCGTATGGATCTATTTTAAAAGATCAGTAATTGGTAAAGAAAATCACCACTATATTTATCATCTCAAAACACAACATTTTAACGAATTACTGTAAGTCAAACCGAAATCTTTCAACAAAGTTAATACATAATCTGGCATTCAAACGAAGCGATATTATGACATATCTTATGCCTTTACATATTATCTACATCACAATCATTTGATAACTAATGATCATCTATGTTTTACGAGCACTCAAACCTTTCAACATTGAATTCTCTTTCTCAATTTGGCAATGATAGTATCAAACTCCTATCACAATGTTAAAGACATATCTTCTTTATTTTATGTTATATTGTTTACGCCCTTTTTTTTCACAATGAGTCTTAGACATAAAATAACAAAAAATATAGAGACTGGTGCCTGGAGTGGGTTTAAGCAATTTAGTTAAAGTATTCATGAATTCTCCCCCGAAATTATTGAAATTCTTTATATATATATAAGGTATATTATTGAGGATCTTCAAAATAAACCATAAATTGTTTCTCTGAAAATACAAAGTTCTGTTTTATTTAACACGCCTTTACAATATTACAACAATTATCAAGTTATGACAATTACACTTCTATCTCACCTGAAAATACAAAGAAACGACATTTAAAGTTCACTAATATCGCTTCTTCAATCGTATCCTTCGGTTTATCTCTCTACAAGTTTTTATAATAATAAAATGCACAAAATAATCTAAGCGTCATCCGCCATTGAATCATAGTTCACATGTCACTTCGATGCGCCCTCTACCATCTTCCACAGACAACATATGAAATGTCATTCATTTCATTACATATATTCTTCGAAGAGATTTTGTCTTTATTCATGTTTAACTGCACTACACGGAACACAATAAAACGCATGGGTCATGCCACACGCAGCGGTATAAGAAAGTGGTGCATAGGAGTACAATAATCATTTCGATGTTATGGGTAGTACACGAAGGCTTTGTCGGACAGTACACGACATTAGAGTTCTTCAAGATTAATGTTTGCATGATGAGTATTTGCATAAATAATAAAGCTGACAGTTCAATATATCAGTTGCAGGATATCTGCTGAAAATAACGCACTAAAAATACTTTGGTTTTTGGGCCTTTTCAGTTACAAAAATCATAACGTAGACTTCAAAATAAATTGAACCCATTTCAATAATTTATTATTATAGGTTACTGAAAAGTAAGAAATAAATTATTGCAATCAAATGAGAAGACTAAAAATGATTTGACACTCATGTAATAGATAGGCATTATAAAGTAAAAAGGCAGTTTCTGGTCTGTTTGAAGATAGTAGATTCTAACAAATTAGCTATGATTGACAAACGAGTGATTCAATAAGGATAAGGCCAAGTTAGGGGAGGACCTAAAATCACATGGTTTGGTTCCTGGAGTAGAACTTGAGGCCAACTGTCAGAATGGTTTTTATTCCAAACACTATACACTTTTGAATCCTGCGTCCCCAAGGATCTGAAAATCCGAAGAGTTTTATCAATCCCTTCAACAAAACAAAGCCCTAAACCAATATCGTTCGATTACCAATAAGAAGAAGTTTTCAATATATTGGGAATTTTAACGTCATCATATAAAACGACACCATTTCATGAATATTAAATTAACTAGTTCGGCGTTAATTAATTAGTGTGCGGTAGATTAAAACCACTAAATTGAAAGTTTGTGTGAAAATATAAATGGATGCTGGCACTTGTTCAACGTTCATTGGGTTTTATTATGAATTATTTCCTAGGCGTATTATAGGCGATTATGAGACGGTAAGTGACTACCGACGCCTATGGACTTGTGGATTAGGAGGAGGGGGAATTTCTCCGGTAACCTCATGCGCTCTATAAAATGCAACGAAAGAATTGGTTAACATCGGTCGTGGGTTCAATTCCCACCCGGGACAAATATTTGTGTGACGAGTACGATCGTTTGTTCTGTGTCTGGGTGTTATTTATCTATAATATGTATGTATTTAGAAATATATAAGTATGTTTATCAGCGGTCTGGTTACCATAGTACAGGGTCTGCCTAGTTTCGGATCAGACAGCTGTGTGTGAGATGTCTGAGGTTATTATTATTTCTGTGAGCTAGTCCATACGTACAGAAGCATGGCCCTCGCATGGATAAATATAAAATATATTGGAAAAGAGGATTTTATTTACAAAAACTGCATACACAATTTTTACATAATTAGAATTTTCAGCAAGAAATAATTGACAGACGCGGACGTAGCGATTAAATTGTCATATCTAAGTACATTAAGTGCAAATGCTCTTATATGCGGATAAATTTCAATAACGGCATTCACAATAAAATAAATTTATTATTTTCAACCTTAGATACGATAACTGAATATGTTATTGCTATCGCAATGGAGTTCACAGCCTGAATTACCTCCATTCGCTAATATCACGATCCTGATAATAAATGGCGCTCATTATCTGTAATTGTGTTACCAAATTGGAATTCGGAATCGACTGGCTTATGTTATATATTTTACAATAGTTAAAAACTGTTAACTTGGCGCAGGTCAAAGGAGAGATCAGAGGGGCTCGTGGCTAAGTAGTAACCGTACTCGGTTACCACATTTCAAAATTAAGTAATCCTGGATTGGTCAGTCTATAGATGAGTGACCATTCTTAACAGATTGAGATACTTTCGTGCCACGGAGAGCACGTTGAGGCCCTGGCCCAGTTGCCTTATGAACATCTGTGGCAATCGTTACGGGTAATGGGAGCCCTTGAAAGTCCGATAACAGTCTTCGACGACTTGGATATCTCCTAGTACTTAGGTTGTTAAGGTCTGATGGCAGTCGCTCCACTTAAAAAATCGAAGTTCAGCCGTGTCTGAGTAGACTGAAAAAGGACTCCAAGCTTGTTCGGAAAATGATTCGGAAGATCAAAAAACTTAAACGAATTGCAATGTTTTGTATGACGGCAAAGAAGATTATCGACCGATACGTGTCTCGGTGAGATACAGTGGTAGATGGTTATTAAGGCAATAACTATGTAAGCATCATTTAAAGTAAATCGTCTTAAATAATTCGACCTACAAAATATCTGCCTACTAATAGTTTCGTAGCAGTCCATCAAATCATAATGTTCGTGTATTAGACACGTGTTATAAAGTTTACAACGATAATTTGATCAATTTCTATTTCTTAAGTTTGGAAATTATCAGATAGCCTAAGTATCTGTTATCGTTGGCTTCCTTGTTAGGGTATCGTGGGTATCGTGCAAAGAGATTCATTTGTGACCGGACAACGTGTGGTTTTATTAGATTCGAGTCCGAAATACCACTTCACCATTAAGAAATTTAAATTCTTCTACATTAAGGAATACATACGTTTTACCTTTGTCCGTGTAGTGACGGATTAAGAATATGGAATGTCACTACCCAAATTCATCCCGTGGGTGTCGTAAGAGCCGACAACAACGCAGGACACCAGCACTGCAAAAAGAAGGAAAACTTGACACAAACCCTATACCAACCCGTCTGGCCAGCGTAGTATAGTAGGCCAAAACGTCCTTTCCAAGGAGAGGACTATGTCCAGCAGTGAACTATTAAAGGCTGTTGATTAGGATGATACCATTTAATTGGCTGATGTTTTGGCCAGTTTGAACTGGTGGAAAAGAGTAATCTGTAAAAAATATCTATTAATCGTGTTAATTCTTATAGTATATATTTTTTGAAGTACAATAAAAAACGCTAATAACATAATTTTTGAGAATCGCATCAACCCCATCATAAAGATTAATCTATAAGAAAAAAATGACATATTTTTTAAGCATACTGTTTTTTTACAGGCGTTCGAAGAGCTAGAGTTCCTGTTAGCCAAGAATAACATCTGCATAGCGGTTAAGGAAAAACTAGTGAAGGATTCAGGAGTGGCGCACGAGGACGCATATGACGATATTGTGTCGAAGCTACTCACCAAACCGAGAGCTAGAGGTAAGACTGAGACTAAGATAATAGAGATGATTTCATAAGAAATTCATATTGTTTGGCATTCTTAATATTAATTAAAGATTGGTTAGTTTACTCAAAAACTCATTCGACTCTGAACTAATTCAAAATCTGTTCGATGGTTTAGAAGCTATATATAAGCGTTCGTGTGGTGACGGATTAAGGATACTTCGGTTTAAATAATTTATTTCATACATACATATAAACATACAGTCCATTTATAATGAGATACAAAGTTAAAAGTAATAAAGTAATAATACTTAATGTCACCACCCCTATTAATCCCGTGGGTGTCGTAAGAGCCGACTAAGGGAACAAACTACACAGGACAACAGCACTGCAGAGAGAAGGAAAACTTGACACAAACTCTATACCAACCCGTCTGGCCAGCGTAGGCCAAATCCTCCTTTCTAAGGAGAGGCCTATGTCCAGCAGTGGACTAGTAAAGGCTGTTGATGATGATGATATAAGTTTTGCTTTGGAGATGAGAAATAAGATGTACAGTATTTTCGTGGTATTAGTTGCATTATATTCCAGTGTGGTATCCATTTCCCTTAACAAACCATACCACAGACAAATTTGAAATTTTGATGATTGAAGTATCTAAATTTGACAAAGAGGACCAATTGAGACCTTGTTATAAAGTTCGCTGAGGCATAAAACTTTTGTTTTGATGTTATAACTTTTTGCTAGGTATTACGATGTTTTTGCGAAACAGATTTCTTATCAATTGTTCTGTTCCTGGCTCATTTAAATTCTTAATATCAGTTATATCGAAATTTACCCAGAAAATAGCTATCGTTCCTATTAATCAGAACCTATGAAGCTACTACGTCTAATTATACCTATGGAGATATAAAAACCAAAACCCAACGAAGAAATAAAAATTGCATATATTGGAACTGTCCTAACAACTCTCTAAACCATTCGCATAAGCATGTCACCCAAAATCGAATTTCAATTGAAACTCAATGGAAAAAAACCAGCAGCCGAGGACATAAACAGTAATGTTATCTAGTTCACCATACTTCCAATGACGACATGATAAATTGTGGCTGCGCAGAGAAAGATAGCCAGCTGCGTCGCGTAAAACAATTTTTCGCTAAAATGGTTACTGAAATTGAATCTGTTGGTTAACGCTGATAAGAAATGATTACCATTAGTTACGGCAATTTTGTCCCGTGTGGGCGGGTAGCCTCACTGTGACAGACGAAATGGGATTAAAACAGGTGTTGTTTTATTCAGGCTCAACTGGGTCAGATAGTTTTTACTAAGTCCTAAAAGTAAAAAAAATAGATTTATTATTATCAGGGTTTTGTAGTAGGTTCGAGTTGTATGAAACACTGATTTTCAACCAAATATTATTTACTTATGTGAATACTTACCGGTTCTTCAAAGGAAATACTTGAGTTTCTTGCAAAATAGACTCAAGTGTGCTTTGCATGGAATAGTCGATGCCATTCGACCACCGATACCACTTCATCGTGAGCTCCGGTGAGGTAATGACCCGCTAGAGTTTATACCCGAAAGTGAAAAGGTAAATGAGGAAGGGAATTGGAAGGTGGATTGTGGAGTGTATGGTGTGTGTGTACTATGATGCCTTCATGCCTATAAAACTAGGACTAGCTCCAGGAAAGTCATACGCTTTTCGAATTGTCTAAAAGTTTATTATGCACCGGAAACAGCATGACGTTATTGTCAGCAAGCGTTCCTCATGTTGCGTGAAGGTTTCGAACGCGTGTGAGTCAGCATGACGTTGACTGTAAGTGGTCTAATGCTCTTCGCGCTATGTGAATGTTTGTGATGCCCGGGAATAAACACGATATTGACTGTCAGCGAACAGGCCTTACTCACGTTTCATGAAGGTTTCGGAAGTGTGAAAATCAGCATGACGTTCAGTATCAGCAGTCAGGCGCTCTTCACGCTGTGTAAAAGTTTCTGTATTAACTATCAGCCTTCCGGTATTCAACACGTTGCGTCAATTATCAGCAATCAGATGCTTTTCGCATTGCGTGATGGTTTCAATTAGACGTACGTAATGTTGCGTTGAAGTCAGTGATGATCTAGACCGAATACGCTGTATACGATCAACCAATTCACGTTCAATTGATAGTTCCGAAGAACAAGATTCTACGGTAAGTTGAGGATTATCAGTTAAACTCAAACTCAAACTCAAACTTTCTTTATTTCATAAAATTTCCAAAATTGTTTGAAATCGTCTTCCATGTAGACTCTAAAGTCATAGATCAACACACACAAAAGCAACAATCTCTGTTTTGTCAAATAGTAACCAAATAAATTTAACAGAAATCAAACCCATACAAAATCTATGATATGCCTGTGCCGATCTACAACCGCCCGTTTCCAAGTGGTTGAGCCTTATGAGAAGAAAGGGCAAACAAACTCATGGCCACTCTTTTGCAATTCACAAGTAGATACAATGGCACATTAAATAAATCACAACATTGTTTTGATGTGTGCTAGTATGTCCGTTATTAAGGACTTAAAGGTGAAAAAACAACGAAGAGAAAACAAGATTAAGAAGAAAAAACGAATACAAGAGAAAATGAAGTGAAACATAAAAAATAGAAAAAATAATAATAATAAAAAACATACTAGCCACACCACATTTTTACTTAAGAAGAAATAGCCTGCGCTAATTAATCCCAAGCATTCTTGTCCTCCTTGTAATCCACAATCGAGTAGTAGGCCCTCTGGCACAAGCCACGTTTTATTGCGGATTTAAATTTGTTAATACTCAACTCCTGAATATTATTTTAGTTAGTTCAGCTTCTCGTTCGGAGTCTATTTCTTGGGAATGAACCAAACTTATTAATATAGCCCGTTTTAAGTATTAAGATAAACTTGATAGCTTCATAGCTGGCATAAATCCGTGTGGTGACGTGTGAAGAATACGGAGTGTTAGCTCGCTTATTCATCCCGTAGGTGTTGTAAGAGTCGACTAAGGCAGCAAAATACGCAGGACAACAGCACTGCAAAGAGAAGGAAAACTTGAAACGAACGCCATTATAAACCCGTCTGGCCAGCGTGGTATAACAGGCCAAAACCTCCTTCCTTAAACACTGACATTTTTAATTATAATAATAGGATGAATGGTAAAACGGAGTTGTTATATTAGGAATTTTGAACCATTCGAAATCATGAAAATGAGTATTTTGAAATTCGTATCTGTGACTGACGGAATCAAGTTTTTCGTGTTTCTGTAGTATACCCGTGAATTAAAAAAATTCATAGCATTTACAAATAACACGATTTCAATTCCTGCATTCTCAAATCTCGACAAAATGTTGCAGTTTCGTATTTTTTTTTTCCCACGGAAATCCCCTCGGATACCACCTATCGGTGGCATGTCGGACTCGAACCGACTAAAACCGCACGCCGTCTCGGGTACTAATAGCCGGAGAACTAAGTATACCCTAGAAATGATTTCGTACCCCTAAACTCATTTTTAAAATTAAGTCAAAAATAAATTTTTAAACTACACTTCGGGCCCCCCTTCAATATAAAAACTATTGCAGATGTTATGTCCAAATATGCCAAATCACCGTACCAAGTTTCATTCAGATCCGGTCTATAGTTTTTGCGTGATTGCGTAATATAAAAACAGACAGACAAGCAACAATTCCAGAATATTCTTTTTGTTTCTCTTATTGTTCTAAGAGTTTTTCTGAGTTAATATATGTAAAAAAAGTTCAGTACAGACATTTTTCTACTCTTTTATTATAAGTATCTGAAGGTTCTGATCAGGATAATCGGTCATATTTAACAAATTATTGTATTGTCATCGGTCCTTGATAAATTTAAGAAATTTCCATTTAATTCGACGTTTTGTAGTGGGTCTAAATCACGTTCGAAAATTCAATTACATACGTACATACTCATACATACCAAGCTAATACAAGCGTGTTAAAAAATAAAAATATAAAATAAAATTATCACAATGAACCTGTTGAAGATATCAAATATTTTTGAAGTATATCTTTACTATTATAGTGGCCTTCCGGCGCCCTCTCTCAGATTTACCGGACATAAATTCATTGTTAATCAAAGTAGAAATTCAGTGGTCATGAAGGTTGGGCGCAGAGCCAAGAATCTAATGGTACTATATATTATTAAAATGGCCTCTAATAGCTGCGGTCTCTTCGTTATATTGTCAAAAACTAATGTTAATGTACTTGTTGATCTGTCGTTTGAAGCTAAGAATGATGACCCCATCATAAGGTCACTTAAATTTACCACGGTTGTAAATTAGGGTTCTATTTAAATAAAAGTAAATTTCTATTTAAATGAGCATTGCAAATGAAATTTCGTAAAAATAAGAAATTTCAGATGCTTTTGACATTTAGTTTTTATTAAATAAAATATTATCCCTTACAAATTATTATCTCTATTATTCTTATTATCTTATATCTTATCTATATCTTATCTTCGTTATCATATATTTATATGAATAATAAAATCAAAAAGTTGCGATAAGGTTAGTTAGGCTTAGCAAATCATTCAAGTGGTATCTTAGGTCGTTAAAAGTAAAATCGTATAATAGTAATAAGCTTGTTAATTGTTTGTTTTATATATATTATTATATTTTATTCTTTGATCAATTAAGTGTAAAAATCACATAGATGTTTTTTCCATTTTCAGTTTTAAATAGTAGCGTTACTCTATTTTGAATGTTGTGATGCCTTCAAATGTTGTGCATTAATCTTATTATAATAGATCAGATGCACGCTTTAGATTTTCCTAAATAATGTAACAACTGGCTGTCCAACAAATAAATAAATAAATATGAATGGCAAAAAATAATTATCTAGAATGGAAAACTTATTTATTGTAAGGTGTAAGGGCCGTCCAACACAGAGGGAGGATCCTCCTACCAGACGGGGTGATCAAGCCTGGCGGTCCGCGGCCCAACGCATGATGTTGGGAAGTTGTATATTATATGCTAATCGACGAGGGAATTCTTCATATCGCGATACAGGATTAGCAATTCTCATTTAGTAGTTACTCCGTAGTTCAGTGTGTCTTTATTAGATGGCGCTGTAGTATGTTTCGCCAGATAATAACTTCACACATTTCATATACGACCGACTGCTGATAGACATAGTTACATTTTTCTGTTCATCACATAATCATTTTGGTCCTGGGTCCTTAGCAGTCAGGGTCACTAACCACTAGACCAATAGTCCAGTCAAGGTATCAAGGTTGTAACGATCTCACAAAGTTACTTTTTTCTTCCACAAAATTGAACACCACTATTAAAGTGGTAATACTAAAATCGTTTTAGGAATATTATTAACCGACGGTGACGAGTAGAAATTACGACAAGTCATGAATATAATTTAATGTTAAAGGTTTATTGAAGACTAAAATTTGATATTTCACCGATTTATTTAAAGAGAGAGAGTATTGGCTTGAATATTACTCGTATTTGTTATATTTTTAACATTGCCCGGCTCAATTTACGATGCTCAGTGGTTTATACGTAATAGATGGTTACATCTGTAGCCTTCAGCAACTTTGGGCACACTTAGGATTTATTATTTACTAGCTGACCCGCGCAGCGTCGTCTGCGTCTCAATATTAATAAATTGTCTCCGTTTTTGAAACATTCTTCATTGGTGCTCCGCTCCTATTGGTCTTAGCGTGATGATATGTAGCCTATAACCTTCCTCAATAAATGGGCTATCAAACACTGAAAGAATTTTTCAAATCGGACCAGTAGTTCCTGAGATTAGCGCGTTCAAACAAACAAACAAACAAACAAACAAACAAACTCTTCAGCTTTATAATATTAGTATAGATATCTCATTTTCTCCGTGATGTTCTTTGTCTTCGAAACTACAAAGAAATAAAGATGCTTATGGAGGCTTACCCAGACTTAATAGAATTGCGGTTTGTATATGAAAGTTGATTGAAGAAATGTCTATATATAATTGATTTTTTTTTAATAAATAAATACAATAATAGGGTAGTTTGGGTAATACTTTTCTTTTATTACATGATTAGAGGTTAGTAGGAAGTACAAGTTTTAATTATCTGTATAAAAATAAATATAAGAATCTAACAGCCTTAACTTTTCATTGGTTTTACTTAATCTTAATTTCCATCTAATTTTA